AACTTACAGCAACTTTACATTCTCTTCACATTTTTTTTTTCTCCCTGTAAGCACCTAACACTGGACATTGCAAAAATGTCAACTTAACTGCTCTTGTGTCCCTCATCTTGGACTTTTGACACCACCCCCCACCCCCGCCCCCCGAGCTAACATTGTGCATTTGTGTTCTGGCAGCTTGAGAACTCTGACTGTGAATAATGAGTCAGTTACCATCCAGCCTCGGGGAAAGCACAGTGATCTCTGGCTGGCCAGTCTGAGGCAAGTCCCTCCTCCCGGCGCCCTTTCCAGTGAAGAACTTGAAACAGTTGGAATTCAGAGCGCTGCAAAGGGAATTTAGGCAAAACCATTGTCTGCTGAATTTAGCTTCTTTGGATTTATTCTGATTTATGATTGATTGGCTTTTAAATTGCTTATTTAATCCTAATGACTCTCGCTCCAGGGGGCCAGATTCCAAGGAACACGTGATCAAGAAGCAGTGGAGTGAGGTAGTTTGGCTGGGCAAATGAAGAGCAGATATTGTCCAGAGAAACATTGCTCTAGGCTAGGAATGTGATGTGAAAGTCACCCCCCTGATTTTCAAAGTACCCGACCTTGTTATAAGCATGAATGCTTATCTCCTACGCTCTTGGCAGAAGGCTTTATGCAGCTTCCCAGGGTTGCACTGAATTTCACACCCCCCCATGAATTTTTCTTCCTCATGGCAGCGTATTCAATATCACTTCATGACTGGGAACATGCTCTTGATTTATATCGCTGTTGACCATGGTGCAGAAAAACAGACCCTTAGGAGTTGCCAAGAGAATTAGATCATGAATTCTGATGTTGGTTGGGTTGATCTCTGAAAACTTTCCCAGAAGCCTAAATTTTCTTCTCAGCTCATGGACACTAGTCCAGCCTTTGAATGGGAGAATTTGAATTTTTAAAAATTGCTTTCGAAACCGAGTTCTCTGAAACAGATCACTTTCACCTGGAAGATATACAGTCTATTTATGATAGGTGTTTAATTTATCAAGGTATCAGTAGTTTCAACCCTTTTCCGGGAGTGTAAACTTTTTCTTTGGCCTGAAAATAGACACAATAGGTATAGTTAGTAGCTTTGTAAGGAAAGTCTGTTGGAAGCTTGTCTGTTTGGTATCAAAAGAAAATTGAAATTCCACTGCTTCAGAATAATGAAACTTTTAGGGGAAAAAAAAACAACTTTTGTTTCATGTATATTGAAGTTTTGACTCAGAAATACCCAAAAGAAACGCTCTTTCAGGTCTCAAAACCTACTTGTTCTCTGAAATATTGCTGTTATATTTCTAAAGTGTATTATGTCTGACACTTATTTCAAAGCAAGAAACATTAGGGATCAGATGAAAGTGTGGAAAAAGACTCTGGTGAAAAACAGAAACAGAAGAATATGGACACACACTTGGGTGGGATGTTTGGATCGCCACCAGAAGAACTCTGGGAGGCAGCATCTGGCACTCGAATCAGGCTTTAGGCCACTTTAGATCCTGGGCTGTGCCATCATCTGCCATTTTGTCATGATCATATTGAAAGGAACTTTTTCCCTATCTTATTCTGCCCAGAGATTAATGTTTTTGCTTTTGTTTTTTAAAATGATGAAAGCCGTTGTAAGAAGCACTTCAGAGTCTTTGGAGTAAAGTAGTATGTATTCTTGTGAAACTACTTTCAAGGTTTAGGAAGGAGTCTTCACATGTAGGTTGAGTCAGACAGAGAACAAGTTTTTTTCCTGCATCTTTCGGTATTTTAAAAGTGAAAGCTCTATGTGTACAATAGGAAGAAGTTTTAAAAGAGTGAATGAGAAGTTTTGTTCGATCTGAGACCTGAACAGTCGTTCCACATCAGCATCAGAAACCAGGACTTCATTATATTTTGCTCTTTATTTCGAAGGAATTTCATCTGGCTATCTGTCAAATAACCTGGTGTTTTATTGGAAATGGCAGAGTAGTACACTGAGTGATTACGAGAACAAATAAAACTTGTCTTTAGAGAGCATTTGTTCTTCCCAGACATCACTGTGCTTTTCAAATATGTAAGTCAATAGATTATTACAGTAGTGTTTTGCTGAGTACACAGTATTTTCTCTGGAAATACTAGACTTAGGTCTTGCTAGACTTAAAGGATGGGCTTTGCAGGTGCCAAGTGCAAAGAATCTGCCTGCCAATTCAGGAGACGGAAGAGATGCCTGTTCCACCCCTGGGTGGGGGAAGATCCTCTGGAGAAGAAAATGGCAACCCACTCCAGTATTCCTGCCTGGAAAATTCCTTGGACAGAGGAACCTGGTGCGCTATAGTCCATGGGGTCTCAAAAAGTCGGACACGATTGAAGTGACTTAGCATGCACGCGTGCACCTTACTTCTGCTCCCCAATAGTACTTCTGTGTTAAACGTCCTATAGACAGCCCTACAAGTCTTAATTCTACCAAAGATGAGGTATTCAGAAACAAAGGATTCTGGCTACCTTGCACCAGGCTGAGATCATTAGAACAAAAGTCCCACTGATTTCAGGGGGCCTCCTCTTGCCCACACCTCCCATCCCATCCCTGTAGGTCACAGAGCCCTGAGCTGAGCTTCCTGTTAGACAGCAGCCTCCCGCTAGCTGTCTGTTGTACCCGTGGTAGTGTATCTATGTCAATGCTACTGTCGCAGTTAAGTTGCACATCACAGTAAGTGGTCAGTAAGGACTGGGTTCAAATCCCCATTTGGCTACTTACCAGCTGTGTCACTTTCAACAGGTTACTTAGGCTCTCTGTAGGCCTGAAAAATGGGGATACTAACAGTACCTACCTCTACGGCAGTGGTGAGATTTAAATGAGATTTATGAGATGCGTATAAAAGACTGTCTGACCCTCAAGTAAGCATTAACCCTTATTTATTTTAATATTACTGCTAATATTAAAAATAATTTTATGACTCAAACCATGACGACAGTGTAGTTTGACTCACTAGCTCTTTTACCTGTTGCTGTGATCTCTCTCCCACGTTTTAGCCTACTTTCGCAGCTGCCTCTGGTACATTTCCCTCAGTTTCCTCTGGCACCTCAAATGCAACTTGGGACAAAGGTTAATTTGTCCTCTCTCATCTGAATTTATCCCCCACATTTCTTTTTTTTTTTTTTTATTTTATTAGTTGGAGGCTAATTACTTTACATCGTTGCAGTGGTTTTTGTCATACATTGAAATGAATTAGCCATGGATTTACATGTATTCCCCATCCCGGTCCCCTCTCCCACCTCCCTCTCCACCCAGTCCCTCTGGGTCTTCCCAGTGCACCAGGCCCGAGCACTTGTCTCATGCACCCAACCTGGGCTGGTGATCAGTTTCACCCTAGATAATATACGTGTTTCGATGCTGTTCTCTTGAAACATCCCACCCTCGTCTTCTCCCAGAGTCCACAAGTCTGTTCTATACATCGGAATCTCTTTTTCTGTTTTGCATATAGGGTTATCGTTACCATCTTTCTAAATTCCATATATATGTGTTAGTATACAGTAATGGTCTTTATCTTTCTGGCTTACTTCACTCTCTATAATGGGCTCCAGTTTCATCCATCTCATTAGAACTGATTCAAATGAATTCTTTTTAATGGCTGAGTAATATTCCATGGTGTATATGTACCACAGCTTCCTCATCCATTCGTCTGCTGATGGGCATCTAGGTTGCTTCCATGTCCTGGCTATTATAAACAGTGCTGCGATGAACATTGGGGTGCACGTGTCTCTTTCAGATCTGGTTTCCTCGGTGTGTATGCTCAGAAGTGGGATTGCTGTATCCCCCACATTTCTGCTAGTGGCATCATGTTATCATAGTTTTCTCTTAATTTAGGATGAAATCTTAGACTCTTTCCTTATCCTAAGGACATAATCATGAATGTGCAAAGATTTAGTACAAAGGCACTTATTGTTTATAGTTTTAAATAGTTGAGAATAGGAACTGGTTAAATAAACTATGTTAAGTATATACAGTGGAATTCTCTACAGTCATTAAAATTATGCAGAAGAATATGCAATAATATGGAAAAGATATTCTCAAGTTGACTTATAATATGGTATGTATAGTACAGTTCCATTTTTGTTTCAGGAGTTTATGGATGCATAGATAAAAGATGAGAAAAATAGTCACTGAAAAAATTGTTTTGCAGTGTTTCTGTCTTGTAGGATTATGTTTGATATTCTAATTTTAATTTTTTTATCTTATAAATTTTCTAAAATCATCTATACATTGCTTCCATATTTTTATTTTTTAAATTAACTTGTTTTAATTGGAGGCTAATTACTTTACAATATTGTAGTGGTTTTTGCCATACACTGACATGAATCAGCCATGGGTGTACATGTGTTCCCCATCCTGAACCCCCCTCCCATCTCCCTCCCCATCCCATCCCTCAGGATCATCCCAGTGCACCAGCCCTGAGCATCCTGTCTCATGCATCAAACCTGGACTGGTAATTTGTTTCACATATGATAATATACATGTTTCAATGCTATTCTCTCAAATCATCCCACCCTCGCCTTCTCCCTCAGAGTCCAAAAGACTGTTCTATACATCTGTGTCTCTTTTGCTGTCTCGCATATAGGGTCATCATTACCATCTTGCTAAATTCCATATATATGCATTAGTATACTGTATTGGTGTTTTTCTTTCTGGAAAAAAAAAACCCCTCAAATTTAGGAAAAAATAGAGATGGGTAATAACTAAGAGTCTTGCACATACTGTATTTTATTGACCTTTTAACACAGGCTGAGAACAATGCTGGATACATAGTAAGCTCTTGTTAATGTTTGTTGAATGGTGAATGAAATAGTGTTGTCTTTTATGCATTTTTAGAAATAACTTTATAGGCTAAGAGTACTTAATGCTTCAAGCATTCAGTTTGTAGATGTCCTTGAAAAGTTTTCTGTTGCTGTTTGGAAGAAAAATTCTCAATAAACACGAAATAAACTAGACTGGTTGTGGTGGGTGTTTTCTAATATTATGTAGTTTATCATTTCAGATAATGTGACCAAAAGAGAAGCCTTTGGAACTAATTCTTCAGAAAACAATTTTACTTCAATAAAATTTACTCAGAGAAATGAACCAAATGATCACCATCTTAGGAGTAAAGCCATGTTTCTTCGTACTTCATCACAATGTTCGGAAGAGGAGCAGGTAATACCATAGCACATTTATAGAAGCAGAGAAAAAAAATTCATCATGAATTTAAAACAAGAGACTGTAAGAACATAAAAACCACTGGACAGTTGTTGGATCAGTAACTCACACTCCTGATTTTAGGAGAGCCCCTGGATTACTTTACTGAAAGTCGTCATTACATTTCATGATTTCAACAGCCAACTTTTATGATAATATCAGGATCTGCCATCTACAGATTTTTCTTGTAATTATTTCTATATTTTAGCTTATCTTCTGTTTGGGATAAAAGAGTTCCTTTTTATAATTCTCTGTGTAAATGGAGTTTCTTTTACTGTCCTGGATTCAGTCCTTCAGACTTAAAGTAGAATATGTTAACTTGGTTTTTCCAAGAGTTGGTCAATAAATAAATGTTAGATGCTCTCTTCCTAATCTTCAAGATTTCATCGACTATATTCACATTCTTTCTAGCTATGTTTTTTTAACAGTCAAGGAATCCTAGTGGAAACTGTTCCATTTTTTTAAGCCATTTGAGTTTCTACTTTAAATCTCATGTGTCTTCCCTGTGATATCGTGGATAGAATTGTATATGAGATTGTGGTTAGACATGTGTTTATATAGAGTGACGGCCTATAATTCTTTACTTCTATAACTTATTCCAGAGAGACGATTAAGGGGCAAAACTTTTTTTTTTTCTCCAGAAGGTTTCCTGTCTACTGGCAAACACTGGCAACTGGAATTACATTTTCTGTTGAATCTTTAACCAGCATGTGAGAGGCAAAGAATTGTTTGACAGTACTTTTTCCTAATAACTTGAAAATGTTGTAGTAGCGTGCTCTGATTTGTCCTTTGGATGCTCGTTGGGATGGCGTGGGAGCTGGGGTGATGAGTGGGGAGTGTTCCTGTTTTACGCATGAGAAGACTGAGGGGAAGTATGTTACTCTAAGTGGCACTGTAGATGGGTCTAGAGGACAGGAGAAGGCAGACCTCCTGAAACCTACTCCCTGGCCACCACTGCGACTTAGCGAATCTGGTCACTAGGTGTGATGCTTCATCAAGCATAGCTAGTGAACAGAAACCGGAAGGGGAGTTTTGTGTCTGAAGGGTTACAAGATCAGCTCCTTTATTTTCGGTTATTTCGAGTTCCCATCAATATGTCTTCAGTGGTTTTTGTCTTGTTTTTCAGATAATGATAGGTGACGGCCAAAAAGCTGGCAGTTGCTTTCAAGGTGATCTGAATCGAGCAGGGGAGGTGAAGGTAAGGCATGATTCAATTTTGTTCCATGGCCAAAACCCCAAAAAAGCACAGAAACCTCACAGGACTCATTTGCTATCTCCCATAAAAATTTGGAAAATTCAGCAGATTTTGTCCATATGGTTTTTTTTTTTTAATGGTGTTTGATTTGAAAAAAAAAAAAAGATGTTTGATTATCTTCAACTGTCTTGGTTGGCTGGGTTCTGGATCTTTCTTCCTCAAAGCTGTAGAAATGGAAGTGGTGCTTCAGTAGAGAAACATGACTCTCATTCCCCTGAACTTATACCATTAAGAGAAATGACAGTATAACAGATTCTCAAGTTTTAGCGCTAAACCATCATTTGGAAGATAAGTTTTTGCTGTCACTTAGATGTCAAAAAATAACTGCAGTTATGTACTTACAAGCAATGGAAGCTACCATTTTTAATTCCTGTGTAAAAGCCATGGTCTGATAAGTAAAGTGGGGAAGAAAGACCTAGGCTGTGTTTTGAATTCCAATGGTGAAATCTAAATTTATAATTTTACAGTATTTTGTTATGCACATGTTTTAGATCATAAGCGTAAAAGGCGTTTCGACATCCTATCTTTGCTAGGTCTGCCAGTGGTGAAATCATTGTTTTAATTTACACTCTTTGATATTCACCTGAGATGAATCAGTTCATGTATGAAGTGTTAACATTTTGTTAATCTGAAACGTCTCATTGTCAGCTTACTGTGGAAAGCAGTATTCCACATGGAATAGTTTTTGATTGAAATGCTGCTATTGTGTCTGTAAAGGTCATTTGCTCTGCTTTTTACCTTTGAAGTAATCTTCAGTTTTATTTGCTCGAAAGAGAACACTTGATTTTTGGCCCTGCTCACCTTTCTTGTGATTACCTGGGGCAGGATGATTTTGTTTCGAATGAACCTTCTCTCCTGCTTTCTTTAGTTTCTTCTGTCTCTTTGGAGTTTAAAGTACATCAGACCCACCACCATCACTGGCCTGAGAAACAAAAGCAATAAAACAAAAACAAGAGACAGAGACACCGCTTTGGACTGTCTTGATGGTGGTATATATTTTGGGACAGAATCAGGAACAAAAACTTTTCAAAAACTCCCCAGACTGTGTTTTCTCTTTCAGCCTAGAGATCTTATTATGGTGCCTACAAAATCCAGGCCAACTTCTAAATTTACTGCTTCTTTCAGATGTTTCTGGGAAAGCACAGTGTACACAAAGAGCTCTAGCTGGGCCTCAAAAGTTAATGAGGAAATTGGATTCAGTTGCTCACTTGAGTGTTGTAGAAATGGATTCATTGATTCTTAACTGCATTTTTTCCCCCCAGGTCTGATTTGCATAAAAATGATATTAATCCTTTTCTAGGTAGACAATTTCCTTGATATAGAAGATTTAGACCTGGATGAAGAGATTAATCCCCAACTGAGCAAGGGTATGTTTTCTGTTTCCTTTCTACACTGCTTGACCTCTTTCTAGAAACTACACGTAAGACTTTAGATAGCTTTTCTTTTCTTTTTTTTTTCCGGGTGGGTGGGCGCAGGGTGCAATTCTTACCTCTCCTTTCCCTGAGATACAGAAAACCGGAGTCTTGCAGTCTCTTTTTTATTAATAAAGATTTCAGCTGAAAGGTCAAACAAAGCTTGTTGAAGGTTGTAAAGTCTTTGGTCTTAAAAGAAATAAAGATTTTCTTCCTACCATTTCCCGTTTACCATATGATTGATTTTTGGATAATTGTCTCAAGTAGAACCATTTAAGTCAAACTCTTATTTCTTACAATTTCTGCGTCATGCTGTAAATTGAGATTAGTTTCAAATGCTCCATAAAATACCAATTCATTATAAACATTATGAGAGTTGGTCATAAAATAAACAAAAAAGAAAATAAAATCCAGATCTTTGCTTTTATAAATATTTATTAATATGTAAGCCAAACACTTAAAACTAATGGTATGTTGTGAATTTTTTTTTCTGGGCTGTTCTCCTACATAGGCTGGGCTGAGAGAGCCTGCTGTCCGCTGACATGTATGTAGTCCATGATGTTTTTGAGGCCTTTTTCCTCTCCTGGTTAACATTCTGTGTAAGCATAGGTATCCTTTAGTTGTTCCAAGGAGCTTTGAAATATGTTCAAAGTTTGAGTTGTTTTGAAAACTCTCATTCCTAATTTAATATGCAAGAATAGCTCAAAATTAGTGTTGAGTGTTTCCATGGGGCAGTTTCCACAGGGGAGTGGGTTGGTGGTGGTGGTTGTTTACGGTCATTAGGTGCTCATTACTGTTGGAGAGGAGGGCTTCTTTCTGACCACACAGGGGTTAAAGTGCAGGCTGGAGCTGGTTTGTGGACTGCCGTCTGTAAATTGTCTACATAAGCCTCTGCTTTGGCTTCTCGGTTCCCCCTGAATTTGAGAGGCTTTGGTAATTGGAAGCAATTAACATTTTTATTCTGCTTCCAAACATAACACTACTCCACTGAAGGGATCGTTTCTCAAGCAGTCTATTGATCGGCAAACTGCAGATTTTTCTCCCCCTTGGTTTAAGGGAGATGAGAGGTCTAAGGGAATCACAGACTCCTGGGAGAGGTTCTCTTAACTTCGGTGCTTTAGGCGGCTCTGAATTTCTTTATAAGAGCAGTTTAGGGGTTCTGATTGGTTATAAGGTATTGCTAAGGATTTATGAGGAATCCAAATTTGTAGAGCAAGCACACTGTTTCTGGGTTTTGGGTAGTTTGGGGGAAGGGAGCAGATTCCTGGGTCTTGTTCCCCAAAAAGAGTTTAATTCAGAAGGTCTTTTGTGACACCTAGTGATCTGTGTTATTAACCACTCCCCCAGGGGATTCTGAAGAACTATAGTTCTTCTGTGGGTAGTACTTGGAGTCGGCACTTGGAGTTGGCATGTGTACATTTGCAACATAAAACTAATTTCATAGGAGGGTACAACAGTTTTTGTGATGGTTACTTTTCTTGCCAGTAGTTAGAAAGTCTGTATACTGACATAATCCTGCATGCCAGCAAATTTGATTTTGGTTGTATCAGTATTTTAAAATTAGTCTTTACTTTTTCAACTACTTTTACATTGTTTCCTTTAAACATTTTTAAGTTATTTTTTTTTATTACTATTAGGTCTGTTTCTTTTGTTTAAAAGATTGCATAAAAACGTCTCACTAGTATGATTTTTCCAGAAATTTGATAACAGGTAGTTTTTCATTTGTGTATAAAAGCTTACTGAGGCTGAACCAAGTCTCCGTGGACTTGGATGAGCTAGTCAAGACATTCTGAGGTGTAAAATAATGTGAAAAGTCAAGGCTAAAAAGCAATCAAGGCTTCAGTGATCTATTCCAATTACTGAAAAGACCACCAAGCTTCACCGTTTTTATAATGTACAGTCTGGATCATCTGAAAGAAAAAAAAAAAAACACAAGAAATTTTCCAAGGTGGGTTTTATCTTTGGGTCTAATTTATATTACACTTGTAATTTGTATTATACTTCAGGAATATGAGCAGAAGGTAAATATTTATATCAGATGGGAAATGTGACATTTTAAATAGGCAAGTTACTTGTATAATTTTGGAAGCTTGAGAGGCTTACTGATTAGATTCTGTCATTATTGTTTAAACAACTGATTTGCCTGGGGCAACCAGGAAGTGAGTTGCCTATTGTTTTTCTACCATTGACTTTATTTGTTCATCTTCTTCATTTTCATAAATATTCTCCAAGATTCAGGCCTCTGTTGCAGTCCTGGGATTTAGCTTGTTGTTTCAGCAGCCCAGGTGGACACAGTTTTTCCAAGCAGCCAGCCCAGTGGCGTGCTATTGACCAGTTGTCCAAGGAAACCTTCGCCACAAAGTTCAGTACCCTGTGTTTATTTGACATCAAATTAACTTTTTTTTCCTCCTTTGAGACAAGATAATTACCCTGGTTAGTTACTGTCATGCATATCCAGAAAGCTTATTATTTGGAATAGGAATTAATTATTATAGGGGCCTCCCTGGTGGCTCAGTGGTAAAGAATCCGCCTGCCAATGCAGGAAAACTCCGGTTTGGTTTGAGTTGAGAAGATTCCCTGGAGAAGGAAATGGCAACCCACTGCAGTATTCTTGCCTGGGAAATCCCATGGACAGAGGAGCCTGGCAGGCTATATAGTCCCTGGGATCCCAGAAGAGTCAACAATTAGTTGCTATCTTTTGCCCTTTAGAGTAGGAAGAATCTTCTGATTGTCTTTATTTCTGTCCCCCTCAGTTGGCCCAGCCTGTTCTCTGGATGAGTACAGAAGGTCAAAGACACCGTTTTGAAGTCTGGTGTTCAGAATTATACTGTATTATACAAGTGTCTTGACCAGCATATGTACTTGTGTTGTGGTTGATTTCACTAAATGAAAATGGACAAGTGATTCCTGCTTGAAGGTTGGCAGCCTTATTTGATTTTCATTTTCAAGCTTTCCAGTACTTCCAGTTTTAATGAAGGTATCAGTTTCTCTCCCTCTCCCTCTTTTTTTTTTTTTTTTCTTTTTAAATTTTCCTTATCTGCGACTTAAAAGCAACTTTATGTAGCCTGTGAATGACCTGGCTTTTATTCAGTGACTAACAACTGTGACTGGATCTGGGAATAAAATAAAAAGTGAAACATATCTGGTTCCTGTCCTTATGGAAATTCATAGTTTATTGGAAGAATCGGACATTAACCAGGTAATCACAAATATATATTTGCAAATTGCTCTAGATCTTATGAGAGCACATTGTAGGGGAATTTGATTTTTCTGTGGATCAGATAAAGAGCAGAGAGCTTGAGATCTAAAGGATGAGTAATTATTAACTAGGTGAGGGGTGGGCAGGAGAGTATAGGAGCAGGATAAGAAGAGCATATGTAAAGGTCCTGAGCTAGGAGAGGATGGCATATTTCAGCCAACTCAGAGTTTAGGCATTTCATTTACTTTACACTTGAGACTGTTAAAAATCATCCTTTCACTGCTTAGAAGATCACTAAAAACATTGAGAAGGAAAAAAATCCTAGCTTCAAAATGTTCCTCTGTCTCTATTCCTCCAATTATTTTTTATGTGCAGACTTATCCATCTATTAAATTCCAGATTGGAAGCCATGTCAGCCACAAAGATAAATGCTTCCACTCCATTCCTGAGAACAAAATTGGGATGATAATTCTGCCCTTTTGACAGTTCCTATGTTTATTTCTCCCGTAGGAAACAAGAAAGGCTTTATCTAATTGGAGACATGAGGGGGGAAAAACTGGATGTGTATGGATGAGGCCTTTGTCTCTTCTTTTGGGGTCATGCTGTTTGGAAGGTGTATGTCCTCTCTTCTCTGCTCGTGCCTCCTTTCTTACAGTAGACCCACGTTACGTGGGGCCCAGTAAAGTGGTTTTCAACCTGAGATACATTAGAATCACTTGAGGAGCTTTAAAAAAAAAAGAGACAGCACTGGATCCTGCCTTTGGGGATCGTTTTCCAGTAGTCTGGTGTGTGTCCTGGGCATGGCAGGTTTAAAAGCTCCCCAGGTGACTGATATGCTAGTGAAGCTGAGAGCCAGCTCTAGACAGTTCTGGAGGTATCACTCTTGAGCCCCTACTCCAAGAGATACAGGGATGTGAAGAAGTTCTCCTTTTAGCTGGCTGGACTTGTGTCGTCTGTATGGACTTCCTCGCAGGTGGGATAGTCTGAGGTCTAGACTTGGGAGGAAAGCTTGATAAATAAGAGGTCCAATTGTGACTGCAAGACAAGCTCCATTTTCAAAATCAGCTTTGTTATTTAGAAAGCTCATATTTTGATCCCCATTATTTTGACTCCTGAATGTATTTTTCTCTTGTTTCTATATTTAAAGGTAGAGGGGTATGATATCACTGTCAAATGCCAGCTCCAGCCATATGTATGTCTTCCCTGATCTTCCCCAGCTTCTTGGATGGCAATAGTAGTCTTCTGCCTCCTTTTATATTTCCACTTTTACTTTGCAGTTTTTTTCTTGAAGTGGGTGTTGGTTAATGTGTCTCTTGAAAGTGGCATGTGATTTATTCCTGTGTGTCTATACACACATACACACACACACAGCTTTGTCTTTTAGAGTGTCTAATCCATTTATGTTTAATATAGTTGCTGATATATTTGACTTTAAATCTCTTATCTTACTATTTTGTTTTCCACTTGTTCTGCCAGTTGTATGTTCTTTTCTTTGCTCATTTTTTTTTGCCTGTTTTGGATTAATCAAATATTACTGTTTCATGGCCTCCTATTTTTGCTGGGTAGAGAATTCTAGGTTTATAATTATTTTCTTCAACATTTTAAAGGTGCTTTTCTGTTTTGTTATGGTGTTAGTTGTTCCTCTGTTGAAAACTGTAGAAAAACCAAATGTCAACCTGATTGTTGTACATTTGAAGGTAATATCAGTATGGTTTTTTTTTTTTTTTACCTCATTTGCTTGCTTCTGTGATTTTTC